GAATTTTGATTTTTTTTTCCGACGTTATCGAATTATAATTATATGAAATAATTTTCAGGAATTTATTTTGACAAAGAATAAAGAAAAAAAACTATTTAAAATATTTAAATTCAACTATTCGAGAACGCTTTAGCTTTTTAAAACAGATACTTCTACAAAAACCGTTGACGTTCTGTTAAAATGACATTATATTATGAAGTTAAACTTCAAAATTAACAATTACTACCTGATAACAATATTGTATTAAATAGTAATTTTCTGTATGATTATTTTTATTTTTTACGTACGTATGTTATGTTTATTTATGTTATGTTCTTTAAAATCAAAGAAGCGATTGCCATACATTACTAACATCTACAGATGCACGAGCAATACATTTATTTTTATTAGATTGTATTAAAAAAGCCTCTTTTATTTTTCTTTTAGAGGCTATCGCTTCTTTCACTATAATTTTGGCGTTATTTAAATTTATTCTGTGTCCTGTGTCCCATGAATGCTCACAAATCTTAGATTTGTGAAAATCTCCCTTTCTTAAATAATCTTTATGTTCTTTAATTCTAACATTTAAGGGTCTATATTCATTCATTTACTCATTCTACACAGTAGACGTTTCCAAAATTCTAAAAATAATGATAACGTGTTATTGCTAAATCTAAAACCAATTAATGCCAGCGGGACGAATGGCTGTAACAGACAAACGGTGTAAATCCGACGCGCAAACGAAACCAATAAAACAAGTTTACATAATAGAACAGATAGACGAGCGATGGAGAGGGATAAAATGGCTGAAAAGTACCACCTAAACGAATAAAATTGTTAATTCATCGCTTGTGAATTATATCATCGACATTCGACACTATTCAATGCCGGTAAATAATGAAAAGCTTTTCGACGCGTTCGGATTTGGGGGAGGGGGAAAGCATTTTTTTGGGAGTTTTGGGGACATGGAGGGAAAAGGGAATTATTAGTGGAGAGAATGACTGGAGAATTGTGAAAAAATGGTTTTTGTAATTCTAGGATTCTGTATGTAATATTATATGTATATAATTGTGATATACAGTTCTTTTATACTTATATAATTTAAAATTACTATATCATCTCTCTGTATATCAGATTCAGCCCATTTAATCTGTTTATATCTCTCCATCCCCCTAGTGTCTCTGTTTTTTTTTCTCTCCCTGAAACATCCCCCCGTAACGGATCCTTTTAATATTAATTTTTTCGATGGGCGTGCCTATCACACGCATCTGCCGCCTCTGTCAAAAAGCTGTCACGGGGACAATTTGCCAACTTTTCCGTCGCGTCGTCACGTCGCGAACAAATAAGGGAGAGACAAAATCGACTTGTGTGAATATTTATTCGGATTAAATGGTTAGAATATATATTTTTTGACTTTTATTTACTATAATATAATTTACTACAAAAATAGTATATTGTTTTATTAGGAGTAAAAATGACACTTTTTGTCGCGAGAATGTAAGTTTGACATACAGGCGAGGCACAAAAAGTCATTTTTACTTCGAATAGAACATGCTATTTTTTCAAACGCCACAAATAATATAAGAAGATTTAAAAATCATACCTTGTATGTAATAATGTAATTATATATCGAGCAACAATGGTTACGCTCATTAAATTTGACATTTTATGTAAGTTTAATAATATATTTTCGTACTTTTATGCTTAGGCGTAAAAGTGCTTTACTTTTAAGCCTAGGCGTAGGCGCCAAGCCTAGATCTAGGCCTAGGCGCAAAGCCTAGATCACGTCGCAAAAATTAACACTTTTGTAACGTCTGAAAATAAAGGTATGATATTTTTCAGGTATCAGAGGTAGCATAATTGTTGTAATCACTATCTGTATGACATTTATCTCAAAACTAAAAAAACACATACAAGACTTTAATAATAAAAAAAATTTTTTGAATTTTCAAAGTCCAGAGAACCAATACTAATTTTCCATTGGTTGTTGAGCCCGAACAACTCTTCAGAGAAAAAAACTTAATTAATAGAAATTATATTTGCTAATTTTGAATAAGATTGAGAGTTACGAAAGTTCATATTTTTTAATAACAAACACAAAAAAAAAAAAATTTTTTACTTTTTAAATTTTCTCCATATTCCATTACGAAATTTTGTTAGCAGATTTTTCGAAACCCCTGTACATTTTTAAAAATCTTAAATATGTAAAAAGACAAAATAAAATATACGTGTTTAAGCGTTTTTCGGAAACTTGACCGTTTTTAAATAAAAAATATTATAATATTTGAGGGTGGTTTCACCCCTTGGAACTGGAATTTCGAAAAATCCTTCGTATCGAACCTCTACCCTAGAATCAACCTGTATGCAAAAGTTGAGCTTCTTTCGTTGAGTGGTTTGAGCAGGATCGTGATTAATCAGTGAGTGAGTCACCTAAGGATTTTATATATTAGTATAGATTAACCAGTTTAGAACAATCAATTTTTTTTTTTTGAAATGTCAATAATAAAAGATGTTTTGGGCTCTGTATCCGGGGACATATCGTAATATAGGAGAGACCCGATCAAAAACGGACGCCAACTAATACCACCACCACCGGCACCGCCGGCAAATCACACGCCTCGAGAAAACTCGATTAATTTCGCCGGCGAAACGGAAATAATTCGCCGAATAACGCGCCAGAAAATAACTTCCTAACCCCCCTACAACCTCCCCCGTACCTCCGCGCGCCCTCCTCCCCTGCCAAACATTGACGTCTATACGTCGCGCGTCGTCATAGTTGTGTTTCCATAGCGATCCGCGGCGCCGAGCCAGGGGAGAGGCGGGCACGGCGGACGCCGCGAACGCCAGGAGGGGAAACGGGAGCGCCGGCGGACGAACGGGGTAGTTTTCGCGTCGGTGCGTTCCAATCAGCGGACGCGGAAAGGATTGTGGCGTAGGCAGAACCGTAATAAGCGGAATTTAAGTATGTAAAGTAAAAGTAATTTAAATAATATTAAAATAATTAGTAATTTTAATAATATTGTACAATACACGCGAGTTAACTCCATATTAAGATACTTGTGTGGTTACACGCCAAACCTACTACATACCAAAGCATAAAGGCTGATTCATGGTACACCGTGACGGGCCGGGGCCGTGCGACGGTGAAGGCACGGCCAAACATGTATGCCAAACTAAAAATGTACCACTTTGGTACAATTTTTTAAAGCACAACAAAATACATCTGCAAATGACTTTAACCGGTTTGGTCGCTGTGAATTTCTTCATAAATTTCTACATAAAAAAACTTCCTGGAGAAAGACACAAATCGAGACGAAAAACATGAAATAGAAATTCAGAAAGCCCAATTATAAGTATGTATAGGTTGAAGAAATCTAAGTAATTCTAATACTACACACAATACTTGGAAAACTTAAATTTTATTAAAAAAACGCAAATAACGAAGCATGTTAGAAACAGTAAATTTTTCAAGTTTTTCTTCGGGTTATTTAATATAGGCAACGCTATAGACATTACAACATTTATAATACGTCGTTAATTAATGCGGATTGTCTCTGAATGGTATCGGTAAGCGTTTAATACATTAACGACAATAATTATTAAATATCTATTCATTTCGGTGCGCGTGGGGAATAATTATTGTACCAAATCATCCTGGATTTGAAAATGTAGTACCACTGTACCAAATAGAATTACAAGTATCAAATTTGGTACAAATGTACCACTGCGGCAACACTGTTTTCTAAAATATAATCGGCACGGACATGATCCCCGTTGTCAACTCGGTGTAGCATATATTGAAGGCCCGGACGTGGCCCGGTGTCTACTGTACGGAACGTGCCCGGCTCGGGTACGGCCCGGTGTACCATGAATCAGCCTTAAGACGTAGCTTTTTAGTCGATTGTTCACATACAATGCTGTAAACTTTAAAAAACTAAAAAAAAAGCACTATCTGACAAATTTAAAGTTTGTCCACTTATTCGATTTAATATACAGGGTGTTTCAAAACAAATGCGACAAACTTCAGGAGGTGATTGTTCAAAATAGAGGGTAGTGTGCTTTATAAACGTTGGTTCAAAAGTCAACCATTAGGGAGAATATCGCGGTGCAAAGATGGCGGAAAAAATAATGTTTTTATTTTTATCTTGAAAATGAAAAGCGATAGACTAATGAATTTTATTGAAACACTACTGTTATAAAAACACACTTTCTAGTAATTTTTCTCTCACTTTTTTAAAATCAGTGGAAGGGGTTGAAATAAACTACCCTAACGAAATTTAAAAGAAAAATCTTATCAAACACATGCAAAAATTAATTTGGATAACTTAGTTTGTTTAGAAGCTTTTTTATCTCTTGAGTTTTTGATAAAACTCACCAATTGAAAATTAATAAAATGTAAAGCATTATGTCAGGACAAAAAACATTTTAGATAAAGAATCTAGTGGGCTGCTTTTCCCTCATTTTAAAAAAATTATGAAAAAATTACCAGAAAGTGTGTTTTTTATAACAGTAATGCTTCCATAAAATTTGTTAATTCATGTTTTCAATAAAGCAAAAAAAACATTAGCAAATATCGCGATGTCTCCAGTGATTGACTTTGACAACACCCTTTATTTTGAACAGAGGCCTAGTCTTTCGCGACTGTTTTGAAAGCACCACCAACTATAAGACAAAAAAATATCATGTTAGAAAATTGATGTATTTTTAATATTTTTGTAATTTATTATTTAGGTTTAAAATTTCTTCTCTTCTTACATAAAAATGTGTATTTTGGTTGGTATTCCACAAAATTTTTAGGCTGTTGAGAAAGCAGAAAACGTACAGATTCCTGAAATAAATTGAAAATAATATTTATTATATTATGTCACTTTTTAAACATGACCACTTCACTTGATGACTTGCATTTCACATGATGATCACTTCAAATATGCACACATAGTGCACACACTGTTTATATTAAATAAATATTGCCCCTTTCAAACCTTCATCTTCCTCTAAAGGTTATTTTTCTATTGTTTCAGATACGGAATGGACCTTAATGGTGCCAGGAGAAAAAACGCTACAAGGGAAACAACGAGTACCTTGAAAGCGTGGTTGAACGAGCACAAAAAGAACCCTTACCCAACCAAAGGAGAGAAAATAATGTTGGCTATCATCACCAAGATGACTCTCACTCAGGTAATAAAATTTACAAAAATGGTCAATCAAGAAATTTTGAATGCGCGTATAAGTAAAAAAAATGAAGAAATACATTACTAAAATTGTATTTAATCAATAATAAATATTTAAAAGTAAAATAAATAATAACCAAAATATGTAAAAATTAAAAAAACGATTAAAAAAAGGTCGCCTTGACTAGAGTTCGAACCTGCCTTACTACGGCTCCAATGTCATAGCAGCGTAAAGTCTAACGCCTTAACCACGCGCCCACCGAGGACTTGAAAGATTCTATGTAAAATTCTTACTTAAAAGATAATCATTTAGTGAAAGTACTTTATTTATAACCATTTATTTAATTCTGTTTTTTGGTGGTATTTACTTTATAGCGGCAACATAGATACATTATCTGTAAAAATTTCAACTGTCTAGCATAACGGTTCATAGATAGACCTTTGTGACAGACGGACGAACGGACGGACAACGAAGTATTAGTAATAAGGTTCCCGTTTTTTACCCTTTGGGTACGGAACCCTAAAAACTCTAAAAAGTACTATAAGACTTTTCTGTAATGTGTATAGCGACAATGACACTGAAGCGATAACAAGTACTCTAATTATCAACATTAATTATATTATTAATGCGCATACCAATTAGTACTAATTAGCCACTACACGACCTGTCAATAAAGGAAAAAATATTAAAAAAAAAAAAAAAAAAAAAAAATAATAATTTATAATTTATTTGTCGTAAGCTCTTATCGGGCTAGTTTCTGTAATTATGAGGGTAATAAAAGTGTGATATAAACGATATTTACATTTCACATAGGTATGTTTGGTAATTAATAAAAGTTAAAAAAGTATGTTAATTGGAGAATTTATGGAAAAAATGTTTTACATTTTTGTCATGTCGTTAACTTGTTATCGCAAAATTGAAATAACGAATGTAGATTTACATTCAATTGGTTTCCTATCTTTTACAATAACTACAAAAATGAAAACGGCAAACTTATAGATTTATTTTGTCCCATTTTGATGAGTTATAACTCTTAATACAGTCTCAGGACTTTGACAAAACGCAATATCTTGATAATTGAAGATTGTTTTACTTAAATCAGGAAAATCTTTCCTGGTGATTTTTCTAGGTAGTAAGTCCTAGAAATTTCTTGGAGTGTCTTAGACCGTTTGGGGATTTTTATTCCAGGTTATGGATGGTGTCTTCCAGGTCCTTGAGTTCCACTTTAAGCTGTTTTTCCACTTGTCACTGGTTCTAACAGATTTTATTTCTTCTTTCCAGGTGTCTACATGGTTTGCAAACGCGAGAAGAAGGCTGAAGAAGGAGAATAAAATGACTTGGGAGCCAAGAAATCGGGTTGAAGATGACGATAATAACAACGACGATGATGACCAAGATAGGAAAAGCACTGATGGTAAAGACCTACTAGGTAAATCAGTTAATTCCATAGTTCAAATATTCGCCATTGAAACGTATGCAGGATGCATATAATTTATATCAGTGTAATTTTGATATTTTCAGCTGCAGTTTGGTTTCGGTTGTTGAGTTCAGTTTAGTGGTTTTTCTTGGTTTATATTGTTGTTTTTTCATTGATATGTATTTTTCTCATTGATGTTATTTTTGTTTAATTTAATTATTTTATTGATTTTTTTAGTATAACCCACTCATGGTGGCGTAAGCTGTAGAGTGTTGTAGAATAAATAAATAAATAAATAAATGAATAAAATATACAGGGTGTTCCATTTAAATTAAACAAGTTATTGCCGTTTAAAAGTAGTAATTATTTAAATAAAATTTAGACACTCTGTATAAAGGTAGTAAACATTTATTTGCTGTAACTGATCAATAACTAAAATTATTAAATATTTAATATTAAAATTATCCCGTTGGAGAAATGAAATAACAAATTTTTACTGCAATTTCCTTAAAATTGAAAATATTTAAAAAAAACATTAAGGTTTAAGTGTATTAAATCTTAATCAAATTTATCTTTTATTTCAATGGTAGAATCTAAAAATAGAGATAATACATACAGGGTGTCCTATTTAAAAATAAAACTATAATATTTTTTACTTATTTGAGTCACTCTGTATATTTAGCAATAATATTTTAGAAATTGTATATCTAATAGTCCTTCAACGACTCCAAAACTTACAATTTGTAAAAATCTAATCGTTTAGCTACAATACTCCGTGTCGTATGTGGTGAACAACCCTGTATAATACTATAATAAATTATCCAAATTTTGGTAGTTTGAAGTACATCAGCCTTATGTACTGTCGCCATTTTGATTCAACTCTCTCTAACTAAATTATTTACATGAAATCATTAATGGCTCATACTAATATCACTTTCTCGTCGAATGCTTCTACTTAAAACCTCCAAAGACACTTCCGGCCTAATTCTTGTCCATTTTTTCCAGATTCCAAAGACTCCGGCACAGCATCCAGCGAGGACGGCGATAGGCAACCCCATTCCCGCCTAGCCCCCGACACTGCATCAGAATGGAGCGAATCCCGACCGGATAGTGGTCCAGATAGTCCAGAAATATACGAACGACCTCCCCACCCCGCCTTCCTGCCCCCTAGAACCTCAGGGGGCAGTCCCCCTCCCCAAATCAGTCAAAGTCCCGTCACTACCAAGCCGCGCATTTGGTCTTTGGCGGATATGGCTTCGAAAGAGAGCAATGAAGTGTCTCCTGGCAGTACCATGTATTCTACGGCTTCAAGTAGGCTGATGGGGTCGTTAGGGACACGATTACCTCCTCCAGGACTTCATACAGCACCGTATGCCAGACCTCATGACTTTTACAGGAGTCTGTACGGTCCTCAACATCTTATGGCGTCACAGGGGAGTTCTCCAGATGCGAGTTTACTGGAGACGTACCAGAGGACGCTGGCAGCGCAACAGAATGCTGTTAAAACGAGTCTTTCGAGCAGCAGTTCGTCAAGTACCGGTAACCCTTTAGCTAGTTCTTCAGCTTTAAGTATTTCGACGTCCTCCAGTGGGGGACTTCCTCTAGGACTAACGCATCCTAGTAGAATGTCACCGTCCTCAACGACAAGTTCTTTGAGTTCTGCGGGTGGTGAAAGTCCACTTAAACCGATAGCTTTGAATAAAGTTTGATGTTAACGAACTAAAACCAATCGAAATGAACTCTATATTAGGTTTTTTTCTCAATTTTTTTTGCCTATCTACCTCTCAAATTAAAAGTTGAAATATGAATGTGATTGAATGAGAAAAAATGATGAGAAAAAGAAGAGGTACATAAAGCAAAGAGCCGAATTTTTCTTCTTGAGATAACGTACTACTATTCCCTCGTGTTATAGGTTTTTATTTGGACTAAAAACTCATATCTATTTCTATAAAAGACCAAAATGGACAATACTTAAAATTAAAGTTTAAGAATGCCTTTTTTGATTTCGTAGCGGCTTGTACAATATATGTGATATATTTATCTGTTCCTTAGGTATTTTTTGAAAATATTGGCAGTCGCGCAGTGTCCTAAACACTCACACAGAAATGTGCAGGGTCGGGTTGACAGATTTTCTTATAAAATATATTAGGACACATCCCTGGATGTGCTCTAAATAAATAAAAAAAATTATATTATAAACTTTTTGAGAAAAAAATTCTTCATAAAAGTTTTACTTGCTTTAAAATGGTTAATCCCGTTTATACTTCCAAATTTTTTCCCACAAATCAAAACTTTGATCGATGGTTTTCAATCTTTGATAGAAAATCATTGCTATTTTTTGCTATTTTAATTAAAGAAGCATAAAATGTATAATCACCATTTCCGTAGCATTAAACCAAATAAATTTTGTACCCCTTTAACATATTAAAGCAGCAAAAAAGATGACAATCAAAATTAATAATAGCCATCTTTCAAAAGAAGAAAACCTAAAAATTATGTTACCATAAAAACGCGTTTTGATTTTTGAAGTTTGCAAAAATTTCAAGTTCAAGTATATTTTCATATTTTTAAATTTTTTGGAAATTTGGAAAAATTTAAACAAAATTAACTATTTTAGATCAAGCAAAAACTTTAATGAAGATTATTCTTAAGTATTTTTCTTAAAAAATTAATAACAAAAAGGTTTCTCTTGTAAAAACGATCTGGGGACATACTGTACATCAAATAAGTATCTACATTAAATTCAAAAATTCAGAAAAAATGATATTTAAGATAATAAAAAAAATATTTTTTTTTTATAAAATTTAACATCCTGTATCTTTAAAACTATGCATTTCCGGACATATGTTTATAGGAACTTTTTTTCATACTTTTGTACAAGGAATCAAACCCTGAAATTTTTACGTGCATTTTTGAAACACCCTGTACGTCAAAATTCGCAAATAAATTTTCTTTGGTACGAAAAAATATTAACCCGGCCCTGTACTTAACCTAGTGGCTCAAAATTCGACAAAATAATTAACTTAAATCCCGATACCCGGTGCAATACATAGTATTTTTTATCGGTACGTTGATCAATCTGTCAAATTTTGATTCACAATCTCCACCAAAAAAACTCTCTTGTAAATATTCCGTTCTCTTTATTATTCGCCACAAAAATTCGAGAATATTCCTCCTGTTTTATGTGGCGGACAGTGTAGTATAGCGTCGGACTGCCCGAATTTTGTCGAGCAGTATAAAAATGAACTCTAATAATTTGTATCATTGTATCTATATGTATATGTATAAACTAATAACTAATAATTTCTAGATTCTAGTAGAGTATGTTGTATTTAAAGATAAAACTATATACAGGGTGAGGTCGTGAACGGTTTTTCTTGTCTACAGAGTGATATAATTTGAAAAGTTACCAATCTGGAATATTTCTTAAAACAGAAAAAAAATTCAGAGAACCTTTTCTTTGTCTATGAGAAGGTCAAAATTATTAGTTTTGTATAAAAAAAAATGTTTTGAATAATGTCTACAGGGTAAGTCAAAAAGCACCTCATTTTGGTTCTTTCTTCAAAGCCCAGATTTATCTAAGAGATATTACTGATTGCTGCTATTCAAATATTCACCCTGTATATGTGAAGCTTGTTGAGCAATGTGTCATCCTGTAATATAATAGGATACGATATTTAATAATAAAAAGTAATCTAGATACAAACTCGTCTGTGTAAAAAACAAATTAAAAAATATACACTTTAATTTCAGGAATTTTCTCTTAATATATATCTGTCTTTGTCTGATACACTCATGTTTGAAATGTTTATATTTTTTGTTATTTTCGTTTTCGAAAATCTTCCTGTTCAGTTCAAATAAACATATCGATAAATATAGACCAGAAATGTTTTGAAAAAAATCAGTCGTATGTAAATTTTGCTGCAATAAATATATTGAACATTATAAAAGTTGCATTTTTATTTATGTTGGGAATTTGAGAGGGAAAATATTTTTTGATACATAAGAAAATACACATATTTAAAAAATGTACTGACTTAAAATATACATCAGTATAATAATAAAAAGTTACTTCTACAATACGATCGAAAAAAAAACAGCGTCAAAAACGGCGGGGGAATGAATATTGATGGTAATTTCGGCCAGGTCATGCCGTAGATCATTTTAACGGTGTAGAAAACATTTTTTGTCAATTCTTGACAAGTTTTATGTATTTTTTTAGTAAACGACATCTAGAGACTGAACTCGCCAAAATTATCATCGATTTTCATTTCTTAGCCATCTTTGACGCCGTTTTTTTCTGACGCCATCTTGACGCCGTTTTGACGTTTCGATCATACGGTATATTTCCATAAGAGGAAATGTGTTGGAAGGAGATGAGTTTACTCACTGTGATATTGCTATTATTGTTGTGCTTATTGTGACTATGTGTGTATAAAAACAAGCCACGTTTTTTTAACTAAGTGTGATAGCATTTAGGTCTGGCCTTTAAAAAAATCAGGTCCGTATTAAAATAAAACAAAGTTGACGTTGGTATTTCCAAAATAAAACGTCTGATTTAAAATTTAGATGTACCATCTATAAAGAGAAAAAAGCGTCAAAATAATGTGAAATATGTAAATGCATATTTAAAAATATCTCTTTAAATAAACTTAAAAAAACAAAAAACGATTTTACGGTGATTTTCCCCGAATATTTTTAAACAGCCTCTACACTTTGAGGAGAACTATTCGAAGCAGGTGAAGCTCGTATTTATTTTTCGTCGTTTTTCAGGGCGTGGGGGGATTTTTTTGGCGTTTTCTGTTGGCCTCTTACAATTTTGTTTCATTTTGAGCTATTTCCAAAACGTGGCGGTATCTGTACCCGAGGCAAAGGACTTTTTTTTCATAAATCTCAGTAAAATAAGTTAACCTAGACGTTTCTAAAATAGCTGTTTTGTTACGATGATATTTCGTTAATTACATCTCGTTTTATATTGATAATATTCCATAGCTAGACAGTTGAACGGAAATCAACCTTTGAGGTACCTAAATCTTTCGTATCTCTTATCGTTTCTGAGGTTGGGACACACTGTATATCAACGAAATTATACTGAAGAATTGTAATGAACAAAAATGGATAAAAAAGGAAGAAAGAATGTCTGGGGACAAGTTGGGATGGAAAAAACGGAACAATATAAACCACAACGCGAGATATAGTTCGACTCGGAACAAGATATATCGCAGAACGGAGCCTGTATAGCGATGCGCTGGTCCCTGGTGGTCCCCCATCGCCAAAATTTCGTCGTCCGATGGTACGCGGTCGCCGGTACCATTGTTAAAAGGACTCCGTTTGACGAGACGGACCTCACGGGATTGGACTACCGGGACCAGTCAGAAAGTACCACGAGAAAGAATATCTAGGAAAAAAAATAACTTGAAGGTAAGTACAGATTTGAGTTGCATTTTTTGATTAACTTGTTGGATTATTAATCTAGAAGATGATGGAAGAAATTATTCAATTCATTCATCATTTGTTGGTATAGTAGGTAACACAGTACTAAAAATTGGTCAAGTGCAAATCGGATTCGCGCACGAAGGGTTCCGTACCATTCATTATCTATACAACATTAGACATTATATTATTATAAATTTGTTTCCGATTTAGCTGAAATTTTGAATGCGCGTATAAGTAATTTAAAAAAAAATGAAGAAACACATTACTAAAAATTGTATTAATCAATAATAAATATGTAAAAAGTAAAAATAAATATGTAAAAATTAAAAAAAACGATTAAAAAAGTCGCCTTGGCTAGGATTCGAACCTGCCTTACTACGGCTCCAACGTCTAGCAGCGTAAAGTCCTAACGCTTTAACTACGCGGCCACCGAGGACTTGAAAGATTCTATGTAAAATTCTTACTTAAAAGATAATGTTTAGTGAAAGTACTTTTTTATCTATAAACATTTATTTAATTCTGTTTTTAGTGTTTGTTCTTATAGCGGCAACATAGATACATTATCTGTGAAAATTTCAACTGTCTAGCTATAACGGTTCATAAGAGAGACCTTTGTGACAGACGGACGGACAGCGAAGTCTTAATAATAAAGTTTCCCTTTTTACCCTTTGGGTACGGAACCCTAAAAACTAAAAAGTAAAAAAATACAGACAAATACTGTTTTTTTTTCTTTAAAACTTCTTCACACGCGCTGGGAGTAAAAATTCAAAGCCGTGGCACACGAGCTAGCTAGATGACAACAAACGCCAAAAAACATTTGTTTTAAAGTCAATAAAATCGTTATAATAAACTAGATCTGTACCTGGGTACCAGCATCCTCTGGTTGGGTGCTAGGAAGTAAATTTTCATGCATATTTTCGTCGAGAGGTTTGTAGCTTCTGAATAACGGTCTAGGTAAAGCATCTAACTCATTTACTAGCTCAGAATTAGAATTATTAGAGTTAAGCAACTCGCATTTTCATTGGAGGATATTGTCATATTTATTTTAAACCAATAATCAACGAGAATATTCGTATAATTTAACAAAATTACTGTAAATCACTATAAATAATGTAAACAAAAAAAGAATTAACTACATAGTGAATCTTCTAGTTAATTTTCCAAGTAATTCAAATCAAATGGTTGTTTTTCTTCAAGCTTCCACGTGCCTAAAACATTCACCCTTACTCATACATAAATAACTTTCCAGCCACCTTAAAGCCATTCGACTCATTTTGGATGAGA